ATAGAGAGAGACAAAGACACAGATAGAGACAATGATATAGACAAAGAGAGAGACAGAGAAAACATGTCTATAGACAGAGGGACAGACAGACAAACACACATGCAGACAGACAGAGACACAGACAAATAGACACAAGCACAGAGGCAGACAGAGACACACACGGACAGACAGAGCCGGAGAAATGGAGGCAGAGACTGACAGACAGATAGAGGCAGAGCTAGAGACATAGAGACAGACAGACACACAGACAGGCTGAGACACAGACAGAAACAGAAACCAGAGACAGACAGACACAGATAGATAGAGACACATAGACAGAGAGACAGGAAGACAAAAACAGAGACAGAGAGGGAGGAAGAGAGGGAGTAAGAAAGGGAGAGAGGGGAAGGACAGACAGAGGAATGGAGAAAAGAAAGTAATAATGGAGAAAGGGAGGAAGGCAGAGAGGGAGGGAGGGAGGGAAGAAGGAAGAAAAAGAAAGGATGAAGAAAAAGAGGGAGGGCAAAAGAGAAAGAGAAGGAAAGAAGGAAAAGGACAGGGAAAAATGGAGAGGGAAAGATGAAGTGAAGAAGGATGATAAAAGGGATAGCATATGGAAGAGAGGAAGGAGGAAAAGTGAGAGAGAAGAAGGAGAAGAGGGGAGACAAAGAGTGGGAGAGAGGTATGAAGTATAAACAATGAGAGGGGGACAGAGGAATAGAGAGAGTAAAAGTGGATGGGAGCAAGAGAGGATGGAGGGAAACATTTACCAAGTTTTACAAGGAATATACATGGCAAATATGAGCCTACTGGTTTGGCTTAGAAGACATTGGTATTCCACCTGCTCTCTGCTACATGGAAAAGATAGAGAAACAAAGCAGTGCAACATCCTTTCTCATCTTATGTTTAAGTATCTGTATTACTCTTACATTTATATCAGTAATTATCTTGAAGATATACAGATAAGAAGTAACACCTGGAAGCTAAAAAAAAGCACCATAAAAAAGATAATCAATGGCTTTTAAAACAATACAAAAAAATAAGCTTGAAGCTTCAAAAACAGTACAATTCTATCCATTTTATATCCAATCTAGCAAGATGAAAACATTATTGCACAGACATTACATGGTCTATGTAAGGATTTTACCTATAGACTTATGCCACCCGAAGCAAGATCCTCAGCTTTTCAAATACAACCAGAAATTACACTGAAACCTCTCCATCTGCCACTTACCTTTTTGCAATGACTGAGTTTCTCTCTGACATCCTTAAGCTCAGCTGTTGCAGATACAAGGTCATCAAGAAGATGGTGTACAAGTGGAAGCCCATGAGGTGGAAGTGGTTCGCGGTATCCTAGGTCATCTAGGGTTATGCGGACTTCTTGTAAGACATCACTTCCACCAGCCATCTTTGCCAAGCCTTACACTCTGGGGGAAAGTAATGTCACTTTATCTATCTATCTATCTATTCTATTTCTTTTCTTTTTGCATAAAACTCAAAAATACATTAAAATTACATCTCACAATTACAAATAAATACTTACAACACACATATCTATCTGCATTCATATATATTCTATTCTATTCTATTCTCTCAGCCTTTCAAAATCCACTGTTGGACACAGGCCCTCCCTACATGTGTGTGTGTCTGCACCTGTATGTGTATGAGTGTGTTTGCACATGTGTATGTATGTGTTTCCATATGTGCATGTGTGTGTGCATATAAATATATAACTAAAAAATAATAAATTCATCCAGCCAACTACTGTAAGCCCACCACCTGAGATTAACCCTTTAATGACAAGCATACCTACAGGTATCATGACATAATGATGTAGAACGTGTATACACATTATGAGTCACCCTAGCAAGTGAGCGAGTGAGGAACCTGTACATAGCACACAACCTGCCAGAAAGGTTAAACTGTTGTGTCATGATTACGTCACAAATTTCTGACTCTGTCATGATAGGGTTAAAAACATTTTTAAGTGGATAGCAGAAACCACAAGAGAAATGAAGTGTATCATAATTTGTTAAGTCAATGGAATCCCACTTATACTGCATTCCCATCTACATAATGGGGATTTCAAACTTCAGAGCTTAATGCAAAAAATGTAGAAATAGCAAAACAGAGAATAACATGATTCAGTAATACCATGAAAGATACAATATCCTTTAAAATCTGTGGCAGAATGGTAACAGTCCAGAATAAAACTGCATCAAGTAATGCTACTGCTGCCCAGGCTGTAGAGTTTGGTCTACGCAAAATTATTTGATCAAATTCTGTCCACGCAAATGCAGTTCTCGGTTAACTTTCCACACACGCTTAATTCTTTTTTAAATCATCTTCCATACATAAAATTCATTTGACCTTTCCGTGCACTTGTTTCATCATCCGTCCACAGATCCGTCCGCACAAATATAGACAAGATGATGTTTTCCAAGCATGAAAATATGTAATATTCCCCACACAAGAAATATACTCTACAGTCTGGACTGCTGCCTTACTCTGCATTATGAACACTAGTAACTCAGAACTTTAAGTTGTTTCTTTAAAGAAATTAAATCATGTGCGAGGTCTGAAAGCCTGGTCTTACCTAAATATAGATGGTGGAAGTTTGTTGGTCTCTGCCAGAGCACAGATTCCACACTACAGCAGGAAACTATTATATCTAACTTATTATCTTTTGCTTGAGCAGACTGATAAACACAGCAAGGAGTATGACAAGACAGCATTGTTAATACATCTATATATTCGAGCAGACCTATTCTAGATAATTACCCATCTCAGAACCAATGAATCTCCCAAGATTATAGATAAGTATAGGCAATATTAGTGCTTTACTCAACTAAAAAAGAATGGCTCTAATGATAAACGCAGCATTAAATGCACTCCCAGTCAACCATCAAATAAAAAAGGAAATAACCAACTGTTAGTTAAATACGTATTCCTGAAAATGAAACGTTGAAGCCGTTACTCTTTTAATTGACATCATAAAACCATTTTCTACATCGTGGCATGACTGATTTCTTAGATCACACTCGTTATTTAACCTTTACAACATTTTACGTGAAACCCAGAACACTGAACTCACCTTAGAAGTGTACATTTGATTAACAAAAACAAAGTTGCCGCAGTTTAGTTTTCAAAAGTTTGTTTATTTTGTATACATTTGCGGAAGTGTCATGAATTATACTAAAATAACCGAGATGTTACCGCATTTTGTTTAATCATTTACTTACAAAAATAATCACGTATATATTATATTCCACATACAATATTTTAAGAAATACATATACGTTATAATAAAATTATCAATGTTTTATTCAAAGCATAAAAATACATATATTAAGATGAAAGAGGTGGATTAGTTTTCGAGCGGTTTATTTAATTCCATGTCGTATCTATTTGGTATTTGCAGTAGGATACTGGTCCATGCAATACTCAATCGTGTGAATCAATATGAAGAATAGATAAACTGCGTTTTTGATGGCCATCAGTGAAGCAAGGGAAACAAATCATACTGAAAATGAGAATGAGTGATTAAGCGCATTCTTCCCCAATGGATGTGTTTCTAATTTCTTTCTCCCTTTCTCTTTCTTTTGCTTTCTTTCTTATTTTTTTCATTTTCATTCCTTTCCTTTTGCTTTTTTCTTTATATTCCTTTTCTTTTTCTTTCTTTACTTTTTTCTCTTTTTCTTTTCTTTCTTTTCTTTTTCTGTTTCTGTCTACTTTTATTTTTCTTCTCCTTCTTTTTTCTTTTTTCTTTTTCTTTTTCCTTCCTTTTCACTTTTCTTTTCTTTCTTATATTCCTATCTCTTTCTTTCCTTTTCTTTTCTTTTTCCTTTCTCTTTCTTTCTTTTTTTCTTCTTCTTCTTCTTCTGCTGACAGGCTGAATACAACAAACCCAAATCACTTCATTAAAAAATTAATCAATTGCCATCACAAATCTGTCAGCTATTGAACAATCATTCTAACTAAGTTGTCAGTTATCAAGTGCTCATCATTACCAACCAGCAAAGGAAATCTTCATATCGATAAAAAAATGTTTAATCAATACTCTTACATACCACCATCATCACCATTGTGAACTGTCATCTTTCTGTTAAAATTCACTTATTATTCTATTATTATAGGATAATAAGTTATTATATTATCATCATGTCATAAGCAATTTCTTCATTATCACTTATCATCTCATCCTTCACCATAGTTATCAGTTTGCTTTTTTCTTAAATTTTTTTACACAAGTAAGTAAGAAACGTACAAGCCCAGTATTCACAAAATGTCAGTAACATCAATCATAAAAATCACAAGTAAGAAACGTACAAGCCCAGAATTTATTTTGACAAGTGAAAAATTAAACACAAATAATAAAAAGAACAGTGTTGTGTTAATAATAATAAAATAATAAAATAAAAAAATAAAATAAAAAAATAAAAAGGTTGTGGCTACTTGTCATATGGTTAAAACTCGTGTCGATAATGAATTTCAAATTTTAACACCTTAGGATATGGCCCCATTGTGAAACAGCCACAATAATAATGAGTTACTATATAACTGCACCTGTTTCGTTTAATCTCTTTTCTGTATTAGTATGTCTTGTTGAATATCAAGTGTAGCATTTTTCAGTGTCCTGTTCATGCAAAAATTACAGTACTTGATATCCAGGCTGCAACTCTCCCACTGTTCAATCGGAAGTGAAAAATGCTGCTACATGCAACAGTTTACTTATATAATTATCAGTAGAAACGCATGTAAATCGGGGAATCTCCCAACTTTATGTGGGGAATGAATATAAAAATTTTGTATTTCTAAACAGTTGTCTGTTTGGTGCAATATCTTCATAATGTTAGGGTAATTAAATACTTTAGCCAAACCACTTATAAGTGCAAACCATCATTACTAGATGAACTAGTTTTATTACTGATCAACATTCACTAAACCAATACTATGTATTATGTATAGACCTGAACTAAGAAAAATTATTGCACACTTTGAATGGGAAAAGAAAAAAAGAATCATATTTTCATTATATTTATGTCAAAATAGTTACAATATTCACAAAAATACATTTGTAATATTGACTACAGATAATGCATCACATTACAAGGCACCAGATATCATATAAATACACAATAAAAATGCTCAGCAAAAATATGATTACAAGGTCTCCTGCTTGCATTACGAAGCAAAGTTGACAAACCTTAGCACTTGAGATATAAAGGCAATTCTATCTTGGTAAAGCAGCAGTATATCAACAAAAGTGATTTTCTCGATCTTAATGGTTGAAAACTTTCTTCTAAAATAATTCCTCTTAAAAATGCAAAGGCATTATTGCCTTTGCAACTTTATAACTATCTATCAATGATACTCACAGATTATAAACCACTCTTCCTTTGAATAACTTTGACACTGGCTTGATTCATAGAATAAGAGTACATTAAAAAATGGCGAGGAAAGAAGAAAACCCCAACAGAAGAGTGAGAAAGGGGGAAAAAAAAAAAAGTGTGAGGAATGATACCACTTTCAAAATTCTCATACGCATAAACACATAATGTAGCATACTTCTTGTGCATCTATTGAGAATTATGAGATTACATGTTCATGCTGCATAGTATGGGTTTTCTAAATTACTTTCAGTTCATGAGTTTGTCATTAAGCACCTTATCCAATTCTACCTTTACATCAATGCTATTGAATATATAAGATATGGAGTATTACAAAATACTATCTTCCTAGTTTGTATTCAGTACTTTACTCATTTCCAAATAAATACCAACCTTTTCTAAAATGCTTCACAAAATCAGTACCTTCAATAATACTGATGTATGATGCACACATTTTGTAAGGAACTTGTCTATTTTCAAATAATTACTTTGTGCCAAGACTGATATGCTTCCTTCATCACAGAACAGCTCTACAGAAAAGCTAATTGGTATATAAAAATATAGTGTTCATTTCTGTGGTAAACCTCACAGACACAACAAAGATTTTTGCTTATCTATTCACGTCGTTCAACTTTTCATTTACTCCCTTTCTAATTTTATGTCACTTAAAATAGCGGAAAAAGTTATGGAGTCATGAGATATGAACTTTCAATGTGATGGAAGGATGAGAGATATTTCATCATTTAAACAAGTTTCTGCCGATCACCGTCAGTAAATGCTTTACTGAAGAAAAAGAATCACTCCTAAGGTTTTTACCTTAGATAGCAGTGCTAATATCCACGCTTCATATGCCACATAATAAATAAATGCAGTGAAGAAAAAGAAAGAAAAAAATGCACAAATACTGCACACTAACAAAGAAGCAAAAAAAATTACCCAGTGAAACTAACCAAAATAACGAGCACTTGTTTTGAAGTAGCTTTGACTGCCTTTAGTATTTCTAAGCTGCATCTTATTCTCTAACCCTTAAAATGGTCTGAGAAGCTGCAAGTTATGGGAAGTGATGGAAAATGGAAATATAATCATTTTGCTGATTTTCAAATAACCATGACTCTGGTAATGATTTTACACATCATAAATTACATAATATTTACTAATCTCACTGTTTAGAACAAGTCTGTACATGTCCATCAATCACCTTTTACCTAATGTTAAAACTTATTAGTACATTATGAACCACCATACAAGAATCGCTGACAATCATAATCTTACTGTTATCAATATTAATAATAACAGACATTAAAAAGAACAGAAATGAAATAATAGTAACAACAATAATGATAACCACGTTTGCCATAATAATTACATTAAAGGAACTCTCATTAGGACAGGCAATAAATAAATACTGGAAATAAATGCATACAAAATCATTTAAGATAACATATTGCTAAGATTATCAGTGACTCACAATAATAATTATCATTATGGTATAGATAAAAATAACATATATTGCTACATACGTTTACCATGCTTACACAGGCAAAGCAATATCCTGTCTTCACACTGTCTTTTGCTTCTATATTAATGAAAGGCAGTTCTCTAGCTATCCATAAGGCATTCAGGATGGAAAACAGTCATTCTGTTATTTTAGATTGGGAATGCACAGAGAATACAAACATTCATTGTATTCTTACAATGTAATATATATTTACAAATACAAAGCTGACTTTACATTTGACTTTCTATTTTTGGCACTTGTTAGAGCAAAGCTGGAAACTTTGGTTGCACTTTTGATGAAATGATAGGCTAATGAAGTACAGATTTAAAGACAGCCATCTCAAGATGTCCACTGAGATAACAAAGCACATGTTCAAGAAAGCAACAGTGATGAAGCATTTACATGATGCTACAGCAGTATTCTTACAGAAGACAACCTCAAAGCTCCTTGTTGATCAACCTGGCAAGAGATATTCCTCTGGCGTATACTGGCCTGTGTTGTCAACAACCCACAAGTCCCTCAGACACTGGCAATAAGTACAGAAATCCAAGAATATTCCTTTATTAAGGAAATTGGAGAGGTAGAGCATATAATACAATAAGATGAGTGGAGAAGTGAAGACATAAGACAAGGACAGAATTTAGTATTGTGAAGTCTTAAGGGGTGGACACAATGGATGTGAGTAAAACCCATCTCTGATTGCTTGTTATTTGAGCAAAATAAACAACACATCTCTTGCACCCAAAGAAGTATGAAATGACTAAATACCATTCCAGGGCTAAAAATGGCATGTGTTTTAGACAAAACATATCTAATGCCATATGTGCATGATACAAAGCACTTGTGTGAGAAGGTTGGAAGAGACAACATGAGCCATGCAATCCATGACAATAAACCATGACCTCATGCTAAAAGGTATGTAACAAAAGGCAACAAATCCATGCCCTGTTACTTGCACTGGTGTGCTTAGGTTATGAAGTTCATTCCAATAATGAATTCACAGCCTTGGGACTACTAACACTGACTCATTATGTACTTACATTTAAAATAAGTTCAAGTTGGAAGGCAAAGGAATGAACATGTTTTCAATTTGGGATATTTTCAGATGACCCAGAGTGGAATGTTATAAAAATACACATCAACATAAATGTATGTGTAATAATGTAGGTATGTATACGCGCATGTACATGTGTGCTTGTATAATATATACATAAAAATCAAACAAAAAACATGTCAGTACATATGCACTATTCACCATTCCTAAAATTTCCTTACACCAAAACCTGAAGTAAATGACAGTATAGCAGGACCAAAATGTGCATGGGGTAGCGGGAATGTCCTTCCCTGGAAATTTTTGGCGAAGATTCAAGGCCACAGAAATGGTCTCCACAGACCACGACAAGGCAGATGTTTCACACTATCACCGAGAAAGGTCCGAGGCTTCACTGGATGGACTCACACTGTCTCTTTTTTCCATTGGTCGTGGACTTCTCTTCTTCAGGAGATGCTGACCAAACTGCAACCATGTCAAAGAGATGCTTAATATTAGATGACAGAAGGCAAAGTAAAACACTGAAACTATCAAACATTGCCATTAAAATACAAAAACACATATGATAAAAAAAAAAAATATAAATAATAAATAAATAAATAAAAATAAATAAATAAATAAATAACTTCATCTAAGAATAACTCAGCTACATCAATCAAGTCTCTATAAACTAACATGAATACTATAATCAAAAAACATATATTTACAAGTAAGAAATAACTGAATAAGTAATCATAAGTATACTGAAGACTACTATTATTTTCATGACTGGGAGACAAGGGGACTGAACAGTCATACAACTGTATATAGCACTATGGGAAACTATTGTGGCAAAAGGGGTATAAATGAGTTCATTATTCAAACAAAATGGGTTAGATTTCAATGGCAGTATAAGGTAATATGGAAGTGTAAAGTTTACAAAGAGGGGTGTAAATGGGGTAGGATAGGGAATGGTAGAAGGATTAAGGGTTAAGGACAAAGACTGATTAGATCAAATGCAGGGTAACTATTCGGACTTCTGAAAGTAAAAGCAAGGATACAGGCTACAGTAAAACAGAATAATAGGTTATGTGGGACTGGAAGAGTAACATTGCATGCAGAACATAGTTCTAAGAAATTGGAAAAATATAATAAAAAAATACACTTACAATAGGTAAGTTATTCTGCTCTTCTTTTGGTAAAGGTTTGGGGGTTCTGGGGGTTGACTTCTTCAATACAGGTAACAAATTATGTACAGGTGATTCTGGTTTAGGTGAGTTTTCCTCTTTAGGAAATCTAGGCGTTGGCTTCTTCAAGATTGGTAATAAATTACGTACAGGTTTATCTGATTTTGCTAGATTTGAATTTTGCTTAGGTAGAATAATTCTGCGAGAAGTTTTCGGTGTTGATTCTGGAGACGAATCAAAATCATTTCTCTCATCTGCTTCCTTTTCTGGTGAATCAACATGCATCTTCGCAAAGCGTTTCTTCAAGGCTGCTGCAATAATAGCTGCGGGGTCACCTCCAACTGGGGACTTCGCTCTGTCTCGTATTGGTGTTCCACCAGGTGATCTGCAATAAAATGGAAAATTGAAAGCTCCAAGATTATCCAAGGAACAGGAACCTATCGTAAGTCACAAGAGAGCAACACTAAATGTAAATATCTCATTTTTCACAACCCTCTCCAATACTAACAATGAAAATAAAAAATATATACAAGATGTCTATTTGATCAGTCTCCCTATAACAATATCTAAACAAGGAAGTATTTATATAAACATATCCATCTCTTTGCTCACCTAGCCACACGTTTTAATTTAACTTTGTTCAGGCCTTTAAGAACATCTGCCATGGATACTGCTCCAGAGTTGCTGCTCTGATTAACAGGAATATCCACAGGTTCTGTGTGTTTGTTGATGCTGCCTTTGTTCTGTGCAATAAGTTCTGCGAAGGATAGCTTGCGCAAAGGAGCATCTTGAGAATTCGAACTCTGGCTGGCTGGTGGAGGCGGTGGTGGAGGGGGAGGTGGTCCTAATGGATGAAGTGGAGGTGGCGGGGGTGGTGGAGGAGGAGGTGGAGGAGGAGGTGCTAAAGAACTGACAGGAGACCCTGATCGGTCGCCCGGAATAGGAGTTGAGGGTGGAGTCAGCGGCCTCTGGCTCTGACTTAGGATACTGGATATCTGTACACGTAGTTTTGCCAGCTCATCCTCCAGGGCTGATATTTTAGCTATGGCTGCTGGATCCGTAAATGGTGATGCTGCATGTATGGTGGAATGTTGAAAAGAGGAATGGTGCATCTGAGCATTGGGAGCTGCATCGGACGGGTACTGATTCCTGCATAATCCCAGGTCGGAAGTGATGCTGAAGGGTGTTGAAGAGCGTGGTGATGACTCCCCATTGAGGTGCTCTCTTTCTGCTTGCTCAAAGGCAAATAGGTCTGGAGCTGTCTCACATCTTGATATTATTGGCCTGAGGATATAGAGTGATTTTGTTAATAATAAAATATTTAACAAATAAATTCATCAGTAATATCTACTGTTAATTCACAATGCCAGAATGGCATGACATACATGCCATGTCTCATGTCATTTTTTTTTTTTTTTTCGCAAATGGCTCTACAAGAGCTTAGTCACCAAGGAGTTAATTACTAGTCAAACCTATCTCACATGTTTCTCCTTTCCCTTGATTTTCAGATCTATCTATTTATCTATCTATCTATCTGTATATATATTTTAGTGCTAACAGTATTTTCAATAATGTAATAATAATAATAACAGTATTGATATAAACATCATTAGATAAAAAATAAAAAAAAAAAAAAAAAAATTCACAGAATGGGGAAATCAAGTTAGGATGACTCTTTGTGGACTCAGCTGTGTGCTGAAAAAACACCACCCACCCACCCGCACCCATCCATCCACCACCCACCCACCCATCCACCCACACCAACACCCACACCCACACCCACACACCCACACCCATACCCATGTTTTGAACTATGATCTGCTTGCACACTGGCAATAGGCAAGATTACAAAGTAATCATAAGTCTTATCTTAAACAGCAAGAAAATTGGTTCATAACTAATTTGAAGAATAAAAATAAGATTGCTTTTAAATGGCTGATTATAATATTACCTAACAGCATGAAAGTAATCATATAATATTCATGTTAATCATTTATAAATCTTATTATAACTGTAAGTGTGAAAGATGGAGTAATGCACTCCCACATTGATATGAATAAATAACTTACATGTATCATAATTAATCAATCTTTATTTTACATTTGTCTTACCATGTTGAAGACTTGAGCATGTAATCCAAACCAAATGTTTAGCTTTCAGAGAGGGAGGGGAGGGAGAGGGGGAGAGGGGGAGAGAGAGAGATAGAGAGAGAAAGAGATAGAGAGAGAAAGAGATAGAGAGAGAGAAAAAAAGAGAAAAAAAGAGAGAGAGAAAAAAGAGAAAGAGAGAGAGAAAAAAGATTAAGAGAGAGAGAGAGAGAGAGAGAGAAAGAGAATATCTCAAGATTAAGGTTCATTATAATGTTATTGATCAATTTTATTGTCCAATCTCAAAGAGTAATACATCAAATTTCCTCAATTCTAAGAAGACCCAAAATCTACCAGCCAGATTAGAAAAATGCCCAAGTGTATCATCAGTAAGTATATTCAAACATACATATCTACACTGTACCATTAGTTTATCTTATAATCTAATGTTACTACTGATGCAACACTGGCTGGGGTAACTGCATCTTAATTCTTGGGCACAAACCCTCAAATAAAAAGAGCTCAGACTCTCTTATGTACACCGTGCCATCTCCACTCACCTAAATCTAGAGCGTTCGGTGTCTGCCAGCCATTTTGGATCGATTGTGCCCTGGGTATGGCCCGAGTACAAGGAGTCACAGGATTGGCTCAAACTTCGCAGGGCAACGAACCTGAGAAGACAAACATCCTTAATTTACTTGTCCAGAAGAGTGTGTGTGTGTGTGTGTGTGTGTGTGTGTGTGTGTGTGTGTGTGTGTGTGTGTGTGTGTGTGTGTGTGTGTGTGTGTGTGTGTGTGTGTGTGTGTGTGTGTGTGTGTGTGTGTGTGTGTGTGTGTGTGTGTGTGTGTGTGCATGCGTGTGTGTGTGCATATGTGTGTGTGTGTGCGTGTGTGTGTTTTTGTATATTACTTGCTTGCTCAGTGCAAGTTCGAGCAAGAACCACACTACTAGCTCATGCTTGAACCAACCTGGATGACCATTCATCTTTTAACTTTAGGCTTAAATAACTTACAGCAGAAAGTATCCCTTACCTTAGATACGGTCTCTCCACTGGCTTCAGTGGTAGAACCGAGCCCACAATACGCACAAAGGATTTTCTACGAGCCCTTGTTGATGATGTTCGCACCTCCTCCCTCAGTCTGAGCAGTAGTGGACCAAGGCCCACTGCCTGCAAAATCACCCAGGCACTTTCTCCAAAATCTTGCACCAGCTCCTCCACCAGCCCCAACAACATTGCTGGCATGCCACTCATCCTGTAAACCAAGACAGATTTTTAAAAAGGAGAAGAAATAAAACATCTACAGCATACCAATAAACATAGACAACATATAAATATAGTGGAATCATCCTATGACTGGGGAGGTATAAGACAAGTCAGCTATAAAAAGTTTCAAGTAAAAATTTCTATTTAATAATTTCTTGTGTTTGGGCAATTCTGGACACTGAAAACCTTCAGAGAAGAATAAAGAAAGAGATTCAGAGAAAAATATCTGTATACCTTGGCTTTTTATAAAGAAAGCATATGTATATGTTTAATGATAACACATACAATGGACTAAATTACTATTATCAGGAAATCAAAAATGCTGGTGCATGATATCAAAAATAGTCATCAAAATGAATAAACAAATAAATAAATAAATAAATAATCAGAAAAATAAATTCACCGAAGAAAACTTTTCAATAAATAATGGTAAGACAAATATCATAAGTTGAATTAGCAACAAAAAGATGTTTGAAAAATATTAAGGTTGTGCTTGCATACTCTTTTCAACCTTCCTCTCCTGTCTGAGCGGGGGCAACATCAATCCTAGAGCAGCCAGTCATTTTAAGCATCACTTTTGTTTCATTGCACAATGTAGTTATTGGTTTGTGAAAAGTAGATAGGTTTTTTGTGGTATAAGGGCAAAGCAATTATGTTTGGTTATCAAAATATGATTGTAGTCCAGTGTATGGTAACACATGCTATGTACACATGAATTGGAGTTTTAATTAATATGTGCTTCTCCTAATGAAATAAAAATAGTTTTAATGCATCTGTATGATCTATCCACGCAAAATGAGAATGATGAATCTACAACAGCCAAGGTGCAAGTCTGCCTAATCACATAAGTAATGTCCTCAGCAAACATTTGTAAATCATTAAATTCAGTGACGGGTTTCAGAATGTAGCCCTTGCAAATGTTTCAAGTTTCAATTAATGGAAAGGACAGAATGACATAAGAATGTTAAGATCACGTCAAGGATTTGGCAATTGTTTGGACTGTTTTTCCCTTTGTACACAAGTACTAAAAGTACATAATACTTATATGGAATCATGCATATTCTCATACAGTGTTAGCATGCTAAGTGTTCAATAAATTTTCTAGTAAACCGATATTTAGTATGTTTTATATATGTAACGATAAATCTCTCGTCAAAACTAACAATACAGGTTAAGTCTAATGTCTCTCATGAAACATTTTCTTTTTATTAATTAAAAAATCGCTACAAAGGACAGCAAGAAGAAAAAACAACGAATAACAATATATCAAATCCACACATATTCACTATGAAGGGGGAAATTCACTTAATAAGATACAGAAACAGTAATAGAGAAAAAAAAAAAAGAAAAAAATCTTCCAATAGGTCCAATAGCAGGGGAGAGCTAGAAAGACATCTGGATTTGGAGTGTTCAAAAAATACTAGTAAATAATAGCAAAGAATAAATAAACTATCAAATTGGACTTGAAAATCAACAAAATCAATAGACAACTGTTATAGAACCTCAAGGATGAAATCTCAGTGTAAAAATGCATAATGGTTTTCAGAAACATTAGGCAAACATAATGTCATTTCAGGACACACAACTACCACATCTTCAACAAAAGGCATAATTGGGTTAATCATTACCGTATGGACGCACCAAGGTAGGGCAAATTGAAAATTATATTCTGTTATAGGACTAAAAGTTGCTGTAATTGGTACAAGAAATAATCAGCAGGCATGAATAATGAAAAAAAAAAAAAATTGCAGAAAATGCCTCCCAGAGCCTAAATCCACTCGGTGCTCCTAAGTTTCAGATCTATTTTGCTGTTCATTAGAGCCCCCTATCGACTCTCCCCTTGGGCAGTTGGGTTTGCTCAGTCAGGGTAAGTTAGATTGTTAAATGCATTTGGTGACACAGAGTCAGATACTTAGTCTCTGGCAAGTGCATCTATACTGTAAAGAATCGCCATTAACTGAAAGAGTAAATATTTAGAAGACACCTGTGAATCCATCAGGAGCCTTGTACCCATTGATGCTCCAGTATGGCAAGAAATAACTTGTAGACTTCCATGGCAATTCATTGATAAATTGATAACCAGTCAAAGCACTAATTTGCCAGATAACTAATGCGTTGTGAGAGTCTGATAGTCAATGCAGGAGTGTAAACTCAGCGGCCACAGAAATCACTAAGACTGTTAGTCTCCCATTGTAGATTATAAGTTTCAAGTGGATTTGCATATCTACTCATTATCTTCTAAATACATAATACTGAATCTTTTGCACCAAATGCAAGTACGTCATATTTACTCTTAACTATAGCATGTTCCCTTGTGTTCCTCCTTTACATTTTTTATTCATATGCTACATTTTATCACATATCATACAAAGGTGCAAAAATGTCTCCAAATATCATTAAAAATATGCCCTGAAAGAGAAACAAATGATGGACCTTTAAATACACTGGTAATAGAAAGTGTTCTTAAGATACCAGAACACACATCTTGTATAATGCAGTAGGTATACAGTATGAAGATGAGAGAAATCATGACCAATAGGCTAATTTGTAGCATCTTTTAATCCCAGGCTTTGAGATGATATCACTAACACAGGACCAATTTCATACTTCGGCCACGGAAACAATTGAGCAAGGAAATCTGTCACTTCCAGCACATGTTAAAAATGATAATGTGAATATTAAGGATACCTATGAACAATCAATCACAACAATATTGATAAATTCCTTCCTCTACTACACTAGACCCCATAAGGTTAAACCTTTTTGGTATGTACAGACCAAATTAGGGCAAACTGATTATGATATTCTTGTAGAAGACAAAAGGTTGCAGTCGTCAGTGCAAAAAATAAGTTGCACAAAAATGGTAACACCACGAATAAAGTAAGTCTACTCAGTGCTACCTAGTTTCAGCTCTATCTTGCCAAGCATACCCAGGTGAAGACAATGCTTAGCCCCCCAACAACCCCTAAAGCCCAAAGGACATGCCCAGTCACAGCAACTTAGATTAATAAATCTTTTGATGTGGAGTTGGGGGACAGTTTCTGGCAAGTGCGTCCATACTGTAAAGAATTATACCCACAAACTCAGCCCCAATAGTAGGGTAGGGCATGAAGGTTGCCAGGGAAATTGTGGGGTAAAATATGATAGAAATATATATTTTCATGCTGGGGCTGCAACCCCTCCTGGACGGGCTGCTCCTCAACCCATGCCCTCATCAAAGAATCCTTCACATATCTGGCAGCATCGAGCATATAAACTGTTGTAGGGAGTCAAGACATACACTAAACTTAAAATATAGGGAGCTTGCACTTTAGGGTGCAGATTACAGGGGGTACAGTTCCCTGCCGTAGATATTACAGGGTGGACAGCTCATTTTCCTTCATGTCACCCTAAATGTCACTTGTAGGCTCCATCTTACCATGCATATGTGGTGGATTCTTTGTCTTCCTGAGCAAGAGTTGGAGAGCAGCAGCTCCCATATACACATAGCCCCTTGTATTAGATATCATTGTGATCCTCATCTTGTATATATGCTGCACAATCCAGTTATCTTTCTAAATCTCCCCACAATCCCCCGGGTAAAACTTCGAGTCCTCCCCTATCATTGGAGCGCAGTTTGGGGTATTTGGGATTTCCACGGCAATGTTCCTAAATCAATGAAAATTAAAGTGTCCTCACACTGATATTATACAGATAATATGCGAGAGAAATAACACAAATTTACCACACTAACATCACCAATACAGATCCTCCACACACAATGTAAACTTTTACCTTTTACACAACTACAACACTCCAATACTACCATTCCTTATACCTCCACAAAATAAAACCCCAGAAACTAAACAAACATCATAAAAGCACTGGACATATGTTCAGTTTTATCCACTCCACGAAACACGAGGTCAATTGCCCATAAAAACTGGAAATGCTCGATATTTTGGACAAATCGTATTGTTCCTAAGATTTTATCTCCTCGTCTGCCTCCTCCATTAAATCATTCCACATTTCACGACGACACAGCATAGTAACTAACTGATTTCCATACTCCATGCTTTATCGGATTTTCCATTCCATTTACGTATAATAAAATAAAAACAAAACTCTATAATTCCCTCTCTTCGCCTTTTACAGCCTTGACCTGACCATCAGCTCGGAAATCGCCCTTTTACCGACGCCATTTCCCACTAAATACTCTCATTTTCTTCCCTCGTGGACTCTACATCAATTAAATGAACTCGTCATGATATGTAAAAACACCCAAGACCCTTAATTTAGAGGAAAATAACAAAGATCCTTACTTATTTTCTTCCCTGGTTTCATCTTTCCCGTCTTCAGTGACATCACTAACTCAACCTCCTGACGATCTTATATGAGGGTCACGTAACGGCGAATCTTCACCGATATTCTTTTAAATTTCGTACTCAAAACCGATTATTTTATTAGGACATCTTAATCACCACAATCGACATCGATGTATGAGACAAATAATTCGAAAAGAGGAAGGTTTAATGTATGGTTATAACGTCGTTAGCGAATTTTCCAATCCAACGAGTTCTTAGTTCAGACTTGCGTTTCAGATTCGATTTTTTTTCCCACTTTCATGCGTTATAATCAACAGCTGCGGTTAACCCTTTAGCTGAATGCATAATAAATATAGACACATGATAAAGGATAGAGGAATCTTTGATCATAATCCTTTCAATGAATAGTTTTGAATTAGTTATCAAATGGGAGATAAAAAGGGAGTGGAAAGTTTTAGTCTTAATATGCGGTTCGTGTAACTGGTTCATACTAAAGAGGTTCTCGGACAGAAGGTCCATTTCTGAGAATTGCAAAATTTCATGACATAAACTTACAAAAGCAAGTTGTTCACTTGTATTGCGTAAGGAAGGTCCCCAGATAATCACTGTGTACGTTAGAAGTTTTGTTATTATAACTTAACATTTGAATCATTACTGCTTTTATTGATGTTTGTAGATTCTTCACTCATCTTCATCCCGATTTTTAAGGTAATGGAGAAGATACTGAAAGAAGATGCCCCGTATATCCTTTAATAAAGTAAAGATCATGTGATGAAAAGTGTTCTCTTATGCACAACAGGACCTGTGTACTAAGTGAATGGTGGGTCTGCTTGCTTCATTTCTCTCCCCTGGCTTCTCACTCTGTCCGCTTCCCTATCCTTGTCTGTCTGCCTCCCGTTATATATCTTGATTTTCCGTTCTCACAATTTACCTCTCTTTTGTAACTTATTTCTGAATCCTTTCTCTCTGTCTGTCTGTCTGTCTTCTCTCTCTCTCTCTTCTCTCTCTCTCTCTCTCTCTCTCTCTCTCTCTCTCTCTCTCTCTCTCTCTCTCTCTCTCTCTCTCTCTCTTCTCTCTCTCTCTCTCTCTCTCTCTCTCTCTCTCTCTACATCTTATCTCTACGCGATTACTACTACTGCACATATAACGGCATGATAAGACAACGTGATATAACAGATAAAAAAATACATTTCAAAATGCGTGTGAGGAAAAACAGATAAAAGGGTGCGACCAGACACCCAAAAATCAAACGTATGTAGTGGTAGGAACTGTTTCTGTGACTGGGTGTTCAGGCCTATGTTGGAGGGAGGTGGATGTGCCTTCCTTTTCACATTCCCTTCCCTCCCTCCTCCCTCCCCCCCCCTACCACCACCCTCTTTGTAAAAACCTCATCCTCATGACCACCACACCCCACCACCATCCTTTTTAGTCCCCCCTCCCCTCCTCCTCCTCCTTCTCTCTCGACAACACTCCCTCCACCGTTTTCGGTTGAGTCATGTTGGAGCAGCCGTTGTCAGCGCTGAAAAATTGTGGTTCTCATGTTATCTTTGAATGTAGTGTGACTGTTGGATCTCTCTCTCTCTCTCTCTCTCTCTCTCTCTCTCTCTCTCTCTCTCTCTCTCTCTCTTCTCTCTCTCTCTTCTCTCTGTGTGTGTGTGTGTGTGTGTGTGTGTGTGTGGTGTGTGTGTGTGTGTGTGTGTGTGTGTGTGTGTGTGTGTGTGTGTGTGTGTGTGTGTGTGTGCGCGCGCGCGCGTTGGTTGGAATGACAACTAATAATGATGATAACAAGAACATCAATAATAATAATGATGATGATAAAAGCAACAATCACAACAAAAATAGTAGTTACAAAGATATTAACAGCAACTATGATAATAATGATAATACCAATGGTGTTAATAATAATACTAATGATAACACTACTACTAATAAGACGATACTGATAATAAAATGATGATAGTAATAATAACAACAATAATGATAATGACAATGATGATAGCAATAATAATATCTATTATTTGTAGTATTATTATGATGATGATGATTATTATTACCAAAGCCATTATTACTATCATTGTCAGTGTTATTTTTACTATCATTATCGTTGTTATTATCATTATCATTATTATAATCGTTATCATCATCAGTATTATTATCATCATTATTATCATTATTATTATTATTATTATTATTATTTATTATTATTCTGGTATCATCATTATCATTATCATGTTGTTACTATTGTTATCAGCGTCATTATTATTGCTGTGATTCCATTATCATTATTATCATTATATTTATCATCATTATCATTTTATCATTATTATTCGTATTATCATTATTCTTATCATTCTTATTAGTATCATTATTGTAATCATTATCATCACTATTATCATTATCATAATTATTATCATTATTTCAAACTACCACAGATATCATTACCTTAATCCATCACATGGCAATAAGTCCCACACAAGTATTACCAATACCACTTCACCCCTATTGCCACCAGGAATAACACCACTAGAAGTACCAGAATAGAAGGAAGGAAATAGGAAACGCAAATATTTAAGCGCAGGTGAGGGGAGGAAGAAGAAAGAATGGGGGGAATGAAGAGGTCAGAAGAGGAGAGAAGGGAGAGGTGGAGGAGGAGAGAAGAAATGCGAATAGGAGGAGGGGGAATGAGGAGGGTGAGGGGAGGAGGAGAAAGAATGGGGGAATGAGGAAATCAGAAGAGGAGAGAAGGGGAGAGGGGTGAGGAGGTCAGAAGAGGAGAGAGGGAGAGGATGAGGAGAAAAAGAGGGGGAATGAGGAGGGAGAGGAGAGAAGGGGAGAGGGTGAGGAGGAGAAGAGAGGAGAGAAAGGGAGAGGAATGAAGGAGAAAGAGGGGGAATGAGGAGAATGAGGAGAGAAGGTGGAGAGGGTGAGGAGGAAGAAGAGGAGAGAAGGGTGAGAATGAGGAGAAAGAGGGGGAGAGGAGAGGAGGAGAGAAGTGGGGGAGTGAGGAGGAATGAGGAAGGTGAGAGGAGGAGAGAAAGTGGCAGGGGGTGAAGAGGAAGAGAGAAGAGGAGGGATGAGGAGGAGAGCAGGAGGGAGGATGGGGAAGAGAGAAAGATGGGCGAGGAGGGAAGAGGAGAAAAAGAGGAAATTATGGGATGGGGGAAGGGAAGTGGAGTAAAGGATGATGGAAAGGAAAGAGGAGGAAAGAAAGGGGCGGAGAGGATGAGAGAGAAAGGATGGGAAGCGGAAGAGTGGGAAGAAAGGAAGAGGAGGGAGAGGAAGGAAGAGAGGAGAGGAGTAGTGGAGGAGATGGAGAGGAAGAAGAAAGAAAGGAAAATAAAGGAGAGAAGGAAAAGAGAAAGGAGACAAAGAGAGAAGAGAAAGGAAAATGAGAAGAAAAAGAAGAGGGAGAGGAGAGGAAGAGGAGGAAGGGAAAAGAGGGAGAAAGACTTAAAAGAATGAGAGGAAGAGGGAGAAAGACTTAAGAGAATGAGAGGAAGAGGAAGAAGGGAGAGAAGGGGAGAAGAGGGAAGGAGGAGGTGCCAGACAAACCCTTCACTTCCGGCACCGGATCCCACTTCCTCCGCCCTCCTCTGACACAGGTGCCACTGAGTGCCACGCTGTATCTTCACCTCTTTACTAAATTTTATTATCATTATCATTATTTCTCCTACTCACCTCTAAACTCCAGCTCATTATTATTATTATTATTCCCCCTGCGGTTCTCTTCGTGCTATGTAGGCCTATGCTGCTTGTAGGCGCGGACGCATAATCAAATAGGCCTAGGAATTGTGATTTTTTTGGACCGATGACAGCCACTGTAACAAACACGTAGATTTAATTGTGTTTTCCCCATATCCCTTTACTATGTATTTTTTTCTGTGATTTTTTTTTATCTATGGCAGCCACTGTAAACAAACACGTAGATTCAATTGTTTTTTTCCTTATCCTCAACTTTGACCTTTTTCTCGGAATTTTGGATCGATGGCAGCCACTGTAACAAACACGGGATATAATTGTCTTTTCCCATATCCCTCTACTATGTATTTTTTTCTGTGATTTTTTTTTATCTATGGCAGCCACTGTAAACAAACACGTAGATTTTTTTTTTTTTTCCTTATCCCTCAACTTTGACCTTTTTCTCGGAATTTTGGATCGATGAAAGCCACTGTAACAAACACGGGATATAATTGTCTTTTCCCATATCCCTCTACTATGTATTTTTTGGGGGGAATATTTTTTTTCTGGATTGGATCGATGGCAACCTCTGTACCAAACACGCATATTTAATTGTATACTATTTCCCATGTTCCTTCGTTATAGCTCTCTCCGTTTTCAGTTTTGTGAACGTCACACTCATATATCTTAAATATACTTATATACTCTTATATACGTATATGTTACTCTTTGAATATGCCGTATAGAGAGACTCAAACAAGAACATAGTCTCTCATATATTCTCATATATCTTATATATACTTAATATTCTTTTATACGTATATGTTACATGGAGGGAAAACACAAACAAGAACTTAGTCTTCATATATCTTATATATACTTACATATTCTTATATACGTATATATTTCTTCTTCCATATACCGTATACATGGAGGGAAAACACAAACAAGAACTTAGTCTCTCATATATCTTATATATACTTACATATTCTTATATACGTATATCTTACTCCTTCCATATCCCGTATACAGGGAGGGAGACACAAGCAGGAACTTAGTCTCTCATATATTCTCATATATCTTATATGTACTTACATATTCTTAACGTATATGTTACTCCTTCATACCCGTATACAGGCACACAGGCCACTTTCAGTTTTCAATCTAAGTTTAACTTCACTAAGAATAACTTTTTTTTTTCTTTGAAGAAACATGTATGGGTTTGATGCTAAATTATTTCTTGTTTTAGTTTTATCTGCAGCTTCTAACAATGTGCCACTGAGGATGGTTTACCAAAATTGTAATATCAGGATATTCGCTTAAACAATGCACACTTACACATACACTAAACATATGAACACCCACATATACACACATATATATATGTGTGTGTGTGTGTGTGTGTGTGTGTGTGTGTGTGTGTGTGTGTGTTGTGTGTGTGTGTGTGTGTGTGTGTTTGTGTGTGTGTGTG